GAAATTAAGTGTTAACGAGCAGTTGGACAGGTGTACCTAATAAAGTGGCCGGTGAGTGTAAATACAGATTATGACAACATAATCTTATTGTGTTTTGTGACAAAACAATAATAGCTACACCAAACTCTAAGGGAAAAAGCAGAATATTGAACCGGACCATCCAGCAGTATGATGCTTAAGACTTAAGAGGGCAGGATGACAGAGAATSGTAAGCTAATGTTAGCTTTTTGTTAGCTTGTCGTTGTTCGTAGCTCCCTACTGTTTRGTTAAACTTGTGTGAAAAAAATGTGACAGTCGCTGCAAATGATTCACGTAAAGTTGTGGTCAGTAAACCAATCAACCACAGCTCTTGGGGGTTGCAGGGATCGAGGTGGGCCTGGGCCATAAGGGCTAACGCCAACATGCTGAATCCTGGTTTCGCTAAGGTCTTATATTAACAAACTAAAAATAGGTAGCTTGAATGGAACCTATCAAGATATACTTGAACTTATTCCTTTCCGTTAGTGAGTTCGGTGGGTGTGCAGGAAGGACTTTTGTATCGAGGGTACAGCACCACATCCCTATAGTGTACCAATGCTGGCTCCAAAAATACAACAAACAATCCACTGAAGAATGAGGAGTTTGTCTGTCGTTATTAATAATTTGCAAGGGAGGCCTGGGCCTGGAGGCAACCTATTGTACTTATTTTTGTGCTGTGGGGAAACTGGAGTGCCGGGGGAAAACATCTATGAAAATGTTTAAACACTGGTCTTTCAACATTCATCATCGTTACTGTAAGTTGTGACAGCTGATGGTTCAAACACACCTTTTTAGGATCTTCTCCACCACAGAGTCTGTTTCATCTCGATGCGACGCGTTGAACAAGTCGAGAACACTCGGTGGAAGAATGTGTCCTTCCTGTGCTAAAACAGCTAAGTTGTACATTCCCTGTGAGTCAGTGTGAAAACATAGTTAGTTGGGTTACTCACTCAGAAAGTCTCCAAATAATAACAGAGCGTGGTGCAGTTTGTTATTTTTATTGCAGTGGGCCTCAGCCTGTGGAAGTTTAATTAAGTTTATCATAGGGTGATGAGATTACAGGCCGAGTAAATCTGTCACCTGAGGGCTGCCCGCTGCAGCTGCTCTGCTATACATTGATATGGCCTGCTCAACCACGGATAATGAGTCCTCTTGTGTGCTGAGGGAATAGTAGTAGAAGTCTCCCACTTTCARCAGAGCTGTAAGGAAGACACATATTTGCTGTTCAGTGACCAGAATGGCAGGGAGAAAAAGAGAGGTTAAATCAAAATGAAATGGTATGAACTCACCAGATGGATGAGGATCAGAGTTTAATATAGAGAAGTTGTCATATCTCCACTGACAGTCATAACTGAGATTCAGCTCCTTGGTGCATGGTGGGAAAGAACAGAGCAATAATGAAGGTTATGTTATCAGCTGCTAATAATTTCCCTCTGGCACAGTTAGTGTGTGACTGGAATCATATGCATTTTATTCATTAACTTCAATCACAACTCCATTTAAGAGACATTGACGGCGGAATTATAATACAGATCAGATTTAAAGATCAGGCAGTGCCAATGACATCTACAAAACGTTTACCTCACACAGGTGAGCAGAATTGATCTGCGCTAAACCAAAACCAGTTTCAGCTGCCAAAATATACTTCACAAGAGCTTCCTGCCTGTTGGCGACATGCAAAAGGTGAAAGAAGTGGGAGACAAATGGTGCAGATCAGAGAAAAAGATTAAATGAAAATCGAAATGTTATTGAATTATGTTGCTACCGAGAACCCTGGAGGTAGGCCTGAAGAGCCTCTCTGATCATGAATCCAAGGTGCCCGTTCTTCTCGCAGACCTTTTTCAGCATTCTGTTCAGAGGATAAAATAGGCTTGATAGATTATAAAACATAATTTGCTTTACATAACACAGCTTAGAAATACAGTGGGTTGCAAAAGTATTCAACCACTTAGCATTTTCTCTGATTTGTTGAATTAGAATCTAGGATTTTAAAATCATTTTTATGGGGGTTGTACTATGAAATTTACAGACATTACTAACACTTTGAAGATACAAAATACTTGGTGAGACAAACAAAAACAAAGACCAAAATAAATGAATAAACATGCCTAATTAAAACGYCTTTTACAGCAGCAGGTCTCTTTAGGTCTGTCTTTATGAGCTGGTTATACACTGGCCAAAAAAACTCCACCTGGATTTAACTAAACAAACAGGTACGAGCCTCCTATTGGATAATTACTGCATGGGTGATTATCTTTCAGCAACAAGTTATTTAACCCCAAATGGTACAATGAGTTGCTTCTCATTTCTTAAACAACCATTGAAAGACACATCCTGTGGTCACGGAGAAGAGGTCAGTCTGTTTGAGAAGGGTCAAATCATTGACATYAAGCAGAGAAAACATCTAAAGAAAATKGTAGAAACTACTAAAATTGGGTTAAGAACTGTGCAACGCATTATTAAAAACTGGAAGGATAGTGGACCCATCATGTCTAGTGTTTACTGTACAGACTGTGGGGGCAGGGCKATGATCTGGAGTTGCTGCAGGTGGTCTAGGAAGCCTAGCCAAACAATGCCACAGTGATTGTGTGTGATATTCAAAGCTAAAGAAAAGAAGCAAAGATTCGGCTCAGTCTGCTGGCGTCTTTATATTTATTAATTTATTTTTATTTGTTTATTTTTGGTTTTGTTTTGTTTTTGTTTGTCGTTGTTTTGTTTTGTTATGTTTTTGTATATAGTGCCCTGAGAAAACAGTTGTTGTAACTTGGCGCTATATAAATA